AAGACTTTATTGGTCAAATTGTAACTTATTTTATTTCGTATTTTGTGGTTGTATCTTGTCCTTGTTATGGATGATAGGCTCTTAGAGGCCAATAACTTATATTGCTTATAGTGCCCATCATGTTTCACTGACTGTGGACCATGTATATCCTATATAATAAAGAGCTAATATGCAAAAGGTCGTCAAACCCTCATGCTGTCACGCCATAACGGTTCAGACACTCAACACTGGGGAGAGAGGTATGGGGACCAGCCAGGCACAAATGAGCTCATGAGAGAGGAATGGGGTCCAGCCTGACTGTGGCCCAGGAGAGGGACAAGCTACCCGCCCCGCGGTCCCAGGAGCCAGTGGCTGCACCTGCACCTTCGGCCCGGTAGAGGGACAAGCTACCCGTCCCATGGTCCCGGGTGCCAGTGACTGTGACCCGGGTGAAGCTGCCCACACAGTCCCCTGCATCTGTGGCTGGCCCAGGCAAAGCTGGCCTGGGTCCTGGGTGCCTGCAGCCGGCCAGAGGGAGGGAAGCCCAGGCCTCAGGTGCCTGCAACCAGCAGGAGGAGGGAATCCTGGGTCCCGGATGTGGGGCGAGGCAGAGGTGGTTAGGGGCGATCAGGCAGGCAGGTGAGCAGTTAGGAGCCAGTGGTCTTGGATTTCAAGAGGCAGTCAGACATGCCCTGAGGGGTCCTGGATTGGAGAGGGTGCAGGCCAGGCTGAGGGACAACCCCCTCACCCCGTGCACAAATTTCATGCACCAGGCCTCTAGTATTTAATACTTTGATTTGCAACATAAGAAGTGTGGCAGATAATGCTATGTGTTCCCCAATCCTGTTTCCTTTTGCTAATCCTGGGCACTCAGGAAGACTATATTTCCTAATCTCCTCTGCAGTTGGGTTGGGATCATGTGACTGGGGTTTGGGTCAAATGGATGTGAGTAGAAATAATGTAAGCTACCACCAAGCTCGGCCCTTAAGACAGCCCTCCTGTCCCGTCTTCCTTTTCAGTAGCAACTGTGGTGATCAGGTGTTGAGCTGGCAGAACCACAGGATGAAAGCAGCTGGATCCCTGAATCACCACATGGAGCAGAGCACTGGAGAGTAGCCCAACTCCACATATGGTAGGCTAATGAGATTTCAGGCATTACTTGTTACTGTAGCAAAGCCTGGTTTATTGATACAGGCATACTTTGCAGATACTACTGTGGGTTTGGTTCCAGACCACCACAATAAAGCGAGTTGTCATCTTTTTGCTGGTGGAAGGTCTTGCCTTCAATTTGAAAAAAATGCAAAACCTATGAAGTACAATAAAGTGAAAAGCAATAAAACAAGGCATGCCTGTATATGAGAGGAAAGAGAATGTTCACAAATAATATAGGAAATAATGTAAGATGTAGTATCTTATATTAGAAGTCAGGGAGTACTATGGAAGATGAGTGGGTAGGAACCAAGTTTGGGCTTGTGTGCTGGGGGAGATTTTTGGAGACGAGGGGAAGAGAGGACGAGTAGAAATTGAATTGGCTGTATAAACTCAGTAAGGTGGAAATGAGCAGGAAACAGAGAATGAAGACAGCCTTGATGTTAGAAAGTAAACATTAGGTGGGGGCCTGGAAAAAGGAGGCTCCAAAACCTTTTAGGTGGAACATGCTACTAAAATCATGGGGTTTCCTCAAGTCAAACAGTGTGAAACCCAACAGATAACCATTCAACGGCTAACATTTGCTGGGTGCTTAGCATGTTTTGAGTTGTGCTCTGAGTGTTGCATCCTTGAATCTTCACAGAAATCCTGTGAATTGTGTAATCCTCATTTTAAAGATGAAGAGACTAAAGTTTATAGAGGTTAAACATCTTGCCCAGTATTAGTCAGGGTCCTCCAGAGAAACAGAACCAATGGGTTATATGTGTGTGTATTTACATATACATTACATATACAAATACACAGATAGGTGGGGGGAGGGGCTGATTTACTTTAAGGAATTAGCTCATGCAGTTGTGGAGGCTGGCTAATGCAAAATCTGATGGGGTAGGCTGGCAGGCTGAAGACTCAGGGAAGAGTTGCAGTTTGAGTCCAAAGGCAATCTGCTGGCAGAATTCCTTCTTGTTCAGAGGTCTGTCTTTGTTTTATTCATGCCTTCAACTGCCTGGATGAGCAACCCTCCTACCCCCCTACCCCCAACACACATACATACACTATGGAGGACAACCTGCTTTACTCATTAAAATGTTTTAATTTCAAATAAAAGCATCCCTGTACAAACACCCAGAAAAAATTTGAACAAGTATATGAGCACTCTGTAGCCCAGTAAAGTTGACACATAAAATTAACCATCACAATTATTTAAAACACATCAGGTTATTCACAATGAATTTTATAAGGATACTGACAGCAAGGATGCATTTAGTAATCCAGAGAGCAAATAGTAGACAAATATTTTTTAAAGTTCACTATACTTACAATAACAGGGCTTTAAAATAAATGAATGTTTACAAACATGCTGGTTTCTACAGTCTATATTATTTAATACTAGAGGCCTGGTGCACGATATTCGTGCACTGGTGGCAGGGGGCGAAGGGGGGGGGGGTTCCCTCAGCCAGGCCTGTGCCCTCTTGCAGTCTGGGAGCCCTGGGGTATGTCCAACTGCCTGCTTAGGCCCACTCCCCGCAAGGGGTCCTTAGCTCTGCAGGGGAGCTGCTCTCCAGCCATGAACCTGGCTTCTGGCTGAGCAGTGCACCCCCTGTGGGAGCACACTGACCGCCAGGGAGCAGCTCCTACACTGAGCGTCTGCCCCTTGGTGGTCAGTGCTCATCATAGTGACTGGTCATTCCGCCATTTGGTCGATTTGCATATTAGGGTTTTATTATATAGGATTATTCTTCATATTAATAAAGTCCAGATATCAGCTGGGGCCTTACTCTGCCCCCTTGAGGTCTAGGCAAAAATGTATCAAAACCTCCTGATACCCAGCCTGCAGAAGTTGAAAGCCTGGTTCATTCAATATTCCTGTTTATTTCCAATGCTTATAAACTCTCCTGGCTTCTTCTGCTTCTTGAGTCCTGCTATGTTGTCCAACCCTGTGGTTCTAGACTACAGTGACCCAAACATGAAACATGCTCTTTTCTGATTTCTACAACAACAAAAAAAAACCGACACCAAAACTGAGTCTGGTAGAATTTACTGGAAACATTGTGTTGGGGAAGGTGTCACAACATTTAGGCCTTTACCAATCCTGCCACCTTTCAATTTCCCTTTTCTTTCTACCTTTCACCCTCCCCTTTTCTGAGTGCCCCAAATTCCAATTTTTTTACGCAAAACAATTTTAGCACCCATCTCCTCAGACTTTGTTACTGTTTTTTTGTTTGTTTTGTTTTTACTTTTTCCTTTGCAAGGGATAGGAATTTAGCTCAAAATAGCTAAGGGCAAAAGGAGAATTTATTGGCTCATGGAGTTAATAATTGGACAGGTTTGTAGGAAGAGGGATTTAGCTGTACTCAGAAACCACTGAACCAGGGACTTAAATCTGCTTCTCTAATTACAGCCTGGCAACAATTCCATTCTTTTTTTTTTTTTTTTTAATATATTTTTATTGATTCAGAGAGGAAGGGAGAGTGAGAGAAACATCAATGAGAGAGAATCATTGATTGGCTGCCTCCTGCACGCCCCCTACTGGGGATGAGCCAGAAAACAGGCATATGCCCTTGATCGGAATCGCACATGGGACCCTTAGGTCCGCAGGCCAACGCTTTATCCACTGAGCCACACCAGCTAGGGCCAAATCCATTCTTATCTTTCAGCTTTCAACCACTTGGGAGGGGCTTCCTTAACTTCCTTATAGTTTTGAAATTCAAAAGGCTGGGCAGAGACTTCATGGCCCAACGTGCCCAGCTGTCTATCCCTGTACCAAGTGTCTATGGTGTGTCTGCTCCTATAAAAACACAGCACCTCCCAGGGAGACCAAATACTTGATGAGCAGGGGCTGTTTCCAGGAGAAATGAGGGAGTTCACCGTAGACATAATACTCTGCAATAGTTTTCGCTGTCCTTTAGTAAAACATGGGCTAACCATTTCTCTAATTTCCAGACCAGCAGTTTGAACAAAGTGGCATTAGAGCACAGAGGAGGGGGCTGCACGGAGAAATACTTCTATAGGGGCCTCTTGAGGTGAGCCTGTAGGATTGAATGTGATTTGTCATCAGGCCAAGAGGGGATTCCAGGGAGACAGACTTCCAGGCTTGAGCAAATGGATAGAAATACGTCCTCTTCCAGACCTCCCTCTTTACAGGCTGAAAAAAACGTACTGGAAGCCATCAGAAAACAAAGGATAAAAATATACTGTTGGTGCAAGGACAGGATCAAATGATGTTGACGTGGACTGAACCACAGCTGTGTGAATAAGCCAGTGACTTAACCCCGGTACATCTTGACTTTCTCATCTGTTACATGAAGACGATAATTGCCCCCCTCAGAGGGCTCAAGTGACGATTAAATGAGATAATCCCTTCGCCTATACTTGTACGTTGTAAGCGCTCAAATAAATGCTGGCGAATGACATCAGCAATTATTTTATACTCATAAATGCAGCCGGAAGGTTGAATTAGATGCTAAATGCCCGCTAGATTCTATCTAATACCTAAAGTGAGTTACATACACTACCCATCGTTAATGCAAAATACTTAAAAACACTCTTTTAGTAAACTTTATAACTTAAAGTAATATGCTTTTACTTTTGTATTCCACCTCCTTTATAAAGTTCCCCTTGATTTATCACTTTTTGAGGTTAGGTACGTACAAAACCAGGAAGTACACTTAACGATGCTTTGACTCTACTCAGAGCTGAAATGGTACCCAAACCTGCAAGGAAGCGCTTCCCAGAGGCCTTCGCAGCGCGCAGCTGACCACTCAGGGGAGCCCTAGGGCTGCGGAGAAGAGATGCTGGGGGAGCCGCGGCGATGGCGTGCTCGACCTCGGGCGCCGGGGATGGCGCCGCCAAGAGCGAGCGCGCCAAGCGAGGCCGGCGCGGTCCTCACCACCCGCTCCGCCTCCGAACCCCGCTTCGGACAAGCAGCGAGCCGCCTTGACAGATCCCGGGTGGGTCAGGAGCCTCCTCACCCGCTCGAACCAGCTTCCCGGCTTCCCCCGCGGCGCCCCGTGACATCACTTCCTGTCGCCGGTGAACACGTGGGCGGAAGTGCCCGTGCCCGCGGCCGCCGCTCCTGTCTGTCTCAAGGGTTACGTTCGTCCACGGGCTGCGCCGCCGCCTCCAGCCAGGCGCCGTTATGGGAGTCCCGGCGTTCTTCCGCTGGCTCAGCCGCAAATACCCGTCCATCATCGTCAACTGCGTAGAAGAGAAGGTGAGGGGAGCCCGGGGACCGCCGCGGAAAACCGAGAGCCCTGGCGCGCCTAGGCCGCGGCCGTCGGGCCAGCCCCAGCCCTCGGGGGTCCGCGGCCGCCTCGTCTGCCCCCGCGGGCAGTGGCGGGCCCCACATTGCGGTGGGGCACCCGGCACTGGGGGGTGCGGGGGGGCTGGCCCGGACTGGGCGAGGGGCCGAGCGCCCGAGCGTGGCCCGCACCCGTCGGCGAGAAGGTCGGTCCCCTGCCTCGCTTTTTTCCGGGACCCGGCTTTTGTTTTCCTTCCGCGCCCCGCGCTGTTTGGGTTTCGGAAGTGGCTCCGAGGCCATTGGGCCCCGTCGGGCCGGTCCGCTGAAGTTAGTTGGGGATGCGCTTGCTGATCCCAGCTTTTAACTACTGTGTAAAGTAGTCGCCCGGCGGCGCGCTTTTTGTGGTTTCTTGGCGGAGCCTGAAACGTGTTCTAGTGTGAGCGACCATTTGTCCATCCTGCCGTACAAGCAGCACCTGAGAGCGTCTAGGGCAGTGGTTCTCAACCTTCTGGCCCTTTAAATACAGTTCCTCATGTTGTGACCCAACCATAAAATTATTTTCGTTGCTACTTCATAACTGTAATGTTGCTACTATTATGAATCGTAATGTAAATATCTGATATGCAGGATGGTCTTAGGCGACCCCTGTGAAAGGGTCGTTCGACCGCCAAAGGGGTCGCGACCCACAGGTTGAGAACCGCTGATCTAGGGCAAGGTAGGAGGGTCCCTTCCTCTAGGTGCCCCGCCTGCTGGACATCATGCTCGTGGACATTGTCATAATTCCTGAGAACACTTGAACATTACACTTTTATTGCTAGTTAATGTGTGTGTGTAGACTTTTGTCTATTCTTGAGTTTTGTATTTCTTGTTTCCGTGGTTTCGTCCGAGTTCGATTTTGTACTCTTAATTAGCATTTGTGGATTGGGAAGGATGGGGTGGGGGGGGGCATATCATGTCCCCTACCCCTTCGTTTTTTGAGGGACGTGGCTGTCTGTCACTGTGACCTGATTTTTTTTTTTTGCTTAGGTTGGTGAGATCTTGATTTTTGTTCAGCTCTTACCCAAGGAGGAACTGGAACCCTTGTTTTGATGGCATTCTCAGTATTCCTTGAGTTTTTCTCAAAGAGAAACTGTTCAACTCAGTGCCTGCTTCCTTTGTTTTAAAACTTAACAAACTTCATTAACTTTACTTAAGTTATCATCGCATTTTTACTCTCCAGTGATAACCACTTTTAAGTGTTTTGGTTTTATTTCTAAATACTGTATCATGCTTATGCCTGATGTATTGGTTTTGAATCTATCTTGAATTCTAGCTATGATCAAAGAGGTTTGGTCACTTATGCAGCCCCCCTTCCTCCACCCCCAAACCTCCTAATAATAAATGACATTTTTATTCATATTATTGGTAAACTTTATAACTTAAAGTAATATGCTTTTATTTTTTTATTCCACCTCCTATATAAAATAACCCTCGATTTTTTTCACTTTTTGAGGTTAGGTATTTTTCTAGCCCTGTCACCCTTACTAGTCATCCAAAGCTTGTTAGCTGTACTTTTGCCCTGTTGGCATCCAGTATTAAATTGCCAGGGCTTTGGCTACATAGGCTTGTTTTAAACGACAAAAAATAAAAAATCGTTGATTACTGCCATTGTGCAAATTCAGGTTATGTACTGTGATTCTGTTTCTTTCCTTGAGCCACTTTTGTCTTTTTCTTGGTGTTGCCGTTCTCTTTTCTTCTTGACAGGGATCCCCCTCAAAACTCTATCAGATAGTCTCTTAAATCCTCTTTCTTCTTAGAGACTTTTTTTAAAAATTAAATCTTTATTGTCCCGATTATTACAGTTGTTCCTCTTTTTTCCCCCCATATGCCCCCTCCACCCGGATATGTCCTCATCCATAGGTGCACGATTTTTGTCCAGTCTCTTCCTGCATCCCCCAAACCCCTTCTCCCCCCCCCCCCCCCCCTAAGAATAGTCAGTCCACTTCCTTTCTATGCCCCTGATTCTATTATAATTACCAGTTTATTCTTTTCATCAGATTATTTATTCACTTGATTTTTAGATTCACTTGTTGATAGATGTGTATTTGTTGTTCATAATTTGTATCTTTACCTGTTCCTTCTTTCTCTTCTTAAAGGATACCTTTCAGCATTTCATATAATACTGGTTTAGTGGTGATGAACCCCTTTAGCTTTTCCTTATCTGTGAAGCTCTTTATCTGACCTTCACTTCTGAATGATAGCTTTGCTGGATAAAGTAATCTTGGTTGTAGGTTCTTGGCATTCATCACTTTGAATATTTCTTGCCACTCCCTTCTGGCCTGCAAAGTTTCTGTTGAGAAATCAGCTGACAGTCGTATGGGTACTTCCTTGTAGGTAACTGACTGTCTTTCTCTTGCTGCTTTTAAGATTCTCTCTCTCTGTCGTTTGCTCTTGGCATTTTAATTATGATGTGTCTTGATGTGGTCCTCTTTGGATTCCTTTTGTTTGGGGTTCTCTGCGCTTCCTGGACTTGTAAGTCTATTTCTTTCACCAGGTAGGGGAAGTTTTCTGTCATTATTTCTTCAAATAGGTTTTCAATATCTTGCTCTCTCTCATCTTCTGGCACCCCTATAATTCTGATGTTGGTATGCTTGAAGCTGTCCCAGAGGCTCCTTACACTAATTTCGTATTCTTTTTTCATTTTGCTTTTCCGGTTGGATGTTTTTTGGTTCTTCTTATTTCAAATCTTTGACTTGATTCTTGCGATCCTCTAGTCTGCTGTTGGAACTCTGCATAATATCCTTTATTTCAGTCAGTGTATGCTTAATTTCTAGTTGGTCCTTTTTCATAACCTCGAGGGTCTCACTAGATTTCTTGAGGGTCTCACTACATTTATCGGCGGTCTCACCAGTCTTTTTGAGGGTCTTACTAAATTTATCGGCGGTTTCTAGAAAGTTCTTGAAAAACCTTAAAAGTGTGGTTTTGAACTCTATATTCAGTCGTTTGCTTTCCTCCATTTCTGTCATTTGTGACCTGTTTCTTTGTCTCCTTATTTTTTATGCTTCCCTGTGTTGATAGAGTGGCTTTGTGTGCTACGTGTCCTATAGGGCCCAGTGGCTCAGCCTCCCCAATTACCTGAGGTGGACACTCTTGGTGCACCCCCTTGTGGGCTTTGTGCACAGTCTTGTTGTGGTTAAGCCTTGATTGTTGTAGGTATCACTGGGAGGAATTGACCTCCAGGCCAATTGACTGTGAGAGTCAGCTGTGTCTACAGTGGGAGAACTTCTGTGCTGAAGATGCCCTTATGAGGCAAGACTTGTTCAGTGGGGCTTTGGTGCCCCCTGAGTGTGTCCCTTATGGATCTGAGGAGTTTTAATCTGGATGGTCCCACTCTGACCACTGGGTACACTGGCTCTTGGATCTAAGGAGGAGCTAATTTAGCCTCTGCCTGAGGCTACCCAGCAGGAGCTATGAGGAGATCTCCAGATTCCCCTTCCTTGTTTGGGTTTGGAGGTGCCCAAATGAGGCCCAGCAGTGAAGCAATGAAAGCTGCTGTGGGGCCTTGGGCCTTCTCTTGGAAGTTCTGGGTCTGCAGTTTGTTAGGTAATTTTCAGATTGCAAAGGGCCAGGGCATTCATATGCAAAAGCTTCTGCCGAAGCTTGGGTGGAGCGGGGTCTCAGGGAATCAACAGGGTGGAGCAAGCAGCTATGGCTGATCCTCAGCCCTGCCCTAAGGGGTCCTGCGGCTCAGTGTCCTGGTAATCCCTGCAGGCACCTTTGAGAGAAAGCCACCTTTGAGAGAAAGCTGCCCTCGAGTTCCGAGTTCTGCCAGCTGCCAGACAGTACAGTTTCTCCCCATATGAGTCCTGGATCCCCAGAGACTCACCTGGAACTGGAGCTCAGAACAAAAAGATTCAAAAAGACAGCCGCGTCCTCAGTTGCCAGCCCTTGCCGCGTGCGCCTCCGTACCTCTGCACTTCTGCAGCTCCTCTGAGTCTCAGTGTGCTTTTCTCTTTCCTTCTAGTTGTAGAATTTCCACTCAGCCAGCCTTCTTGTGGTTCTGGATGATGTCCGTTTTGTCTTTTAGTAGTCTTTTTGAATTTGTTGTGGGAAGCAGTGTTTACCTATGCCGCCATCTTGGTTTCTCTCTTGAGCATTTTTTCATGTCTCTTTGGCAGCACTACGTCTGCTTTGGACAAGTGTCTATTTAGATCCTTTGCCTGTTTTTTAATTGGGTTGTTTATCTTCCTTTTGTTGAGTTATAGGAGTACTTTATATATTTTGGAAATTAATCCCTTATTAGATGTATGGTTGGCAAATATGTGCTCCCATACACTGGGTTCCCTTTTCAGTTTGATGCTGGGGTTTTTTGCTATTCAGCAGAAGCTTTTTATTTTGATGTAGTCTCATTTGTTTATTTTTTTCCTTTGTTTCTCTTGCCCTAAGTGGTGTATCCATGAAAATTCTGCTATGTGAGATGTCTGATATTTTGCTACCTATGTTTTCTTCTTTTATGGTTTCACAACCTACATTAAAGTCTTTTATCCATTTTGAGTTTATTTTTGTTTACAGTGTAAGTTGGTGGTCTAGTTTCATTTTCTTTTTTTGCATGTACCTCCAATTATCCCAATACCATTTATTCAAGAGACAGTCTTTACTATCTTCTATGCTTTTGTCTCCTTTGTCAAATATTAATTGAGCATAATTGTGTGGATCGATTTCTGGGTTCTCTGTTCTGTCCCATTGATCTGTATGCTTGTTTTTTGTGCCAGTACCAGGCTGTTTTAATTACAGTAGCTTTGTAGTATTGCTTGATATCCAGTATTGTGATTCCTCCTTCTTTCTAAAGATTGTTGTGGCTATTTGGGGTCTTTTTTGGTTCCATATAAATTTTTTGAGTATTTGTTCTAGGTCTGTAAAATATGCTGATTGTATTTTGATATGGATTGCATTTAACCTATGGATTGCTTTGGGCAATATGGACATTTTAATGA